ATTATCCTTAAAGGTCCATTCCAACCTAAACGTTAGTATGATTCTACAACAAGGGCAAAAAAAAGAAGAGCTGAAAAGTTTTGAACACTTAGGGGTTTTTGGAGTTAAGGTCCTGCTCAATTTTTTTCCTGTTTAGTTTTAGAATTTTTAGCACTGGCAATGCATGTATTTTTTTAAAGCTCTTTGGCTTCTGGTCTGTTGAGACATTATGGTGTTGCCCATTTCCTCTCAACATGAAGTGTAGCAATTTGATGATTGTAGAGGAAGATGAGTTTTTGATCTATTTGCGTGACTTCTATGGCTTAAGAATTGAAGTAAAAAGTACTTGTCTTAAATACATTACAAAATTGTTACAACTGGCTATAAAGTACTTGCCTTAGTCCTCCTAATACAGATTATTAATTGATCTATACTGAAGAAAATTCCCTAAAATAAATGCTGTAGTGCCTTTCTAGTCAATGGAGATGTGTACTTGAAGCCTTTAAGCCAACTCCTGTCCAAGTAGCTGAACTTTCTCAAGGTACTTGTTTTTGTCCCTGGGTTATCTGTGGAACTTGCATTAGTAGGCCTAATTTACTAGACCCCCCAAAACAGTGTAGCAAGAAATTATATGTTTGATTCAGGCAGACTGAATGCCAGTCACTGCTCCTTGGGGAGGTGCACAGTATTAAAGTGTTTTTGCCTGGATCTGGTGCCAAGGTGAAGGGCAGAGTTAACCATCTTTTAATGTGCACAGTAAAATTAACCTGAAAGACAAAAGAGCATTTTGCAATGCACAGTTTTTCTCACTATTAATATTATAGGGCTGTAATAAGGTGGATTTTTTTTAAAAGAATCTTTCTAAATACTTTTTATCTTTTAAGAAGCAATGGCATTGAGCCTATAAAACTCATTAGTTCCTTTTTTCTTTTTTTTTTTTTTTGTGTGGACAAACTCTGTTATGTTTTTGAATGTTCAATTGTTCGGTGTTAGTCCTCTTTGCACTTTTACTTTCCTACCTGTCCTGATGAGGAAAATTTGCTGTAATGTGTGGGGTGCTTTTATTGACTTCAGCTGTTGTGTTTAGAGTGTGTGTGTGTCTGTTTATCATGTCAGATGAATAACTGAGCGGGCTGATCGCTGTGTCAGCAGGCTAAGTCCCTCTTCCGTGTCTGTAATTCTCCCGCTCTAAACACACTTGACAGTTAGCTGGTGACCTTAGGAAGTCTTTTCATCTCTGACTCCACAAGTGGTAGCGTGACTACTGCAACAATGTTTTGGCAAGGATAGTAATAGCTTAAACCACGTTGAGTTCAAAAGCAAACATCTAAATGCATTTGTCCAAATGACAAAGACGAGGCACAGTTCAGGAAGTCTCACGCACAGCTGCAGTAACTGGGACATGAGCAGCCACTGTTTGGCTTATCTTCTTCTGGTCTCCAAATAATTTTCCCCAGATCTCTTAGCAGAAACTGATGTCTAGTGTTTAAGTGGATGCCAGGAGCTGGCAAAACTGAGGATAACACATTTCTTTATGTACAGTAAAGATGTTTTTTTCCATCCATCAGCAAAACATCCCAGCATTTTAAAGAAGATCATGGTCTATTGCATCATAAGTGCAAAAAGAGAAAATTAAATATTGTCAGATTTTTGATGGGCAGGGTAGTTTTTTAGACCTGAGGGATTCCCTTGTTCTGCTGAGAGCAGCCTGGATGTGTGGGTGAATCTGGTGCTTATCCTAAGATCCTCACTTGGAGCCCAGCAACCTTTTGGTGCACATTTGTTGTCATTTGAAGAAGTTGTTAGCTCTGGGCATAACAGTAGGGAATGGGGCTTTTGATAAGGTAGAAGAGGCTGATGTGAAACAAACCCAAGACTTCTCTGTGTTATGTTCCTCTTTTTTTTTTTTTTGGTTTGGTTTGGTTTTGTTGTTGTTTTTGTTTGGTTTTGTGGGGTTTTTTTGGTTTTGGTTTTTTTTTTTTTTTTTTTTTTTTTTTTTTTTTTTTTTTGTTTTTTTTTTTTTTTTTGGTTTTTTTTTTTTTTTTTTATCGTTTTGGTTGTTTTCTTTTGGTTTGGGTTTTTTTTTTTGTTTCTTTTTTTTTGTTTGTTTGTTTTTGGTTTTTTTTGAGTTTGTTTTTTTTTTTTGCTAGGGAGAGTGAGGGTTGGAGTGCAGCAGTCATACTTTGGACCAGGTTCTTTGCAAAAATTGTGTTCCACTTGCATTGAAAAATTGAGCAAGGCTTCCAGGGCAGTGTTTCTGTAGCCCCTTGGCTCCAATCCATTAAAGGTTGTTCATTTAAAAAATTGTGCCTCTAAAATTCATGGTGCTTATAAGAGATGTAATTCTGATAAGAGCTTAGAGAGGGAAGTCACCTGAACATCCTGGTAAGCCCTGATGGGAATGACATATGCTTAGAATAGCCTTCTGCAATGCCTAAGAAGAATGCAAAATGTACACATAGCAATTCTGGCTCTTCAAAGCCTTGGTCCATGACAGACCATGTGCAAGAATAGGTAGAAATGGACACTGGCCCTTGTGAAGGCACTGTTACAGTTCATCATATAAACACAGGAAGATCCAAAAGAGACTCAAGCTTGGATGAAGTCTTACTTCTGCAGTATCCTTCACCACTGGGTGAAGGAGCAGTTAAAATGTGTCCATTTCAAATGGGAAAATGAGAACAGTTTTCTCCACCAGAGCCTTGTCTCTGCAGCCTTCACAGGGAGCTGTCACGCCAGCTCACACCAGGCTGCGTTTGAAGTGGTGGTTTCTTGGTTGATATCTAGCCAAATGCCTCAGCCGCTCATAAGAATGATTCAATGCAAATCAATGAGATTTTCTAGACACATGCAGTTAATGTTTCAACAAGCAGCAGCAGATGAAATTGCTGTGTCAGATTGCATGGCAAAGCGAGCTGTTGCCCTTGTTCAGAAAATTCTATGCCTGGAGAGTTTTCAGACCTTCCCATTTCAATTATCTGAAAAATTCTGCTTTCAAATCAACTTTGGAATGTTCAGAGTCTCTGTATGCCAGTCTTTTTTTTGACATTGATTTTCTTGTTTGGAAGAATCAAAGATGAAACATGATGTTTTCTACTCCCCAGCAAACCTCAGGAGACAAGTTACTGCTACAGACTTTGCTCAGGTTCTGCAACTGTCCTAATCTATATAACTGTATATTAGGATAAGAGGTCATTGCTGCCATTCAGGTCTTTCTGAGAAACTTTTTGCTGGATGCTGTGTTTGCCCAAGCATGGTCATGCATATGTGGATGCATTTTGGTTTTCCAGCTGATTTTCCAAGGAGAAAAGCTGCTGCCTTTCCTACATGGATGGTTTGTCAGAATCCCAGAAAATGTCTACATTGAAGCATGTCAAATCAGAAGAAAGTTTTTCACCTAAAGGATGGTTGGGCAGTGGAACAGGCTCCCCAGGGCAGTTGGTCACAGAACCAGCCTGACTGAGTTCGAGAAGCATTTGGACAATATCTCAGGCACATGGTGTGTTTCTTGGGGTGTCCTATGCAGTGCCAGTAGTTGGACTTGATGATCTTTGTGGGTCCCTGATAACTCAGTACCTTCTGTGATTCTGTCAGTCCAATAACAGTGAAAAAAAGCAGATTAAATTTTGCAGCACAGTTTGATTCAGCAAATCATATTTTTAAAAGGAATAGTTTGATTCTGCTGTATAAAAAAGCATTCCAGTGAAGCACAGCAGCTTCCATCTCTCTCAGCCCACATCTGCCATTTTTGCCCCCACTCTTCTAAAGAAGTCTATGTCACCCAAAGGATGTAGTCCTGGGCTTTTGGCCAACATCCTGAACTTGAATTCCCACGCAGAAGAGCATTTACTTAGGAAAATAATATGTGGCAGCCAGTAGGCACAATACTACCTCTACTGCCAGAATGTACTGACTGTAAATGAAGCTGTGACAGATGGCTTGAAATGTTTCAGTGCTTTTTTTCTCTAGACCAGGATTACCTAATTAATTTTTACTATGGTGCATTGGGTTGTTTTACCAGGTTCTGATCTGACACATGGAATGCATGGGATCTAAGTTTGCTGGACTAAGCAGGGTCTACATGTGGGGTAGGGGCAGTTTTCCAACAAATCTCTGGGACAGCAGGCTCCTGATGGGACCAAATGAGGGAGAAGAAATATGGGATCCTCAGGACACCAGGGACAATATCTGCGGGAATGAGAAGGAATGGACTCCTGATTCAAATTGGGACTGAGTTTACTGGGCAACCCTGTTTTAGAGAAGAGTAGTATTTTACTTGATAGTGAAACTTCTACATGCACTATACCTACAGAAGGTAGCTTTCTTTTACTGCTTAGGGAGTGTTGTTCTTGTGCATGGTCCTTAGTAGACAGGGCATGGTAGGACATTTTTTATTGTGGTTAGAGAAATGCATAGGTGAACAAAAAGGCTATTTTCCTTAAGAAAGTTGTGATGCATAGGCAGATTTGATATAGCTTAGATGAAATATATGGGGAAAAAAGAGTTAAATGTGTCATTAAATATTTCATATGTTGGATAGAAAGAGGCCAGTGCAATCATTTCTAGTCTGGCAGAGAAAAATGAGCAGCTATCATTTTGCTAGGTTTATTAGGAGTGACTTTGAAGTGTAACCTAGTAAATACAGCCTATCAAACCAGAATTAAACCAGCTGAATATTACTTAAATTGCTCAAGGAAAAAGTCCTTGTCTGTTCTATCCTCCTCTCTGGGTACATGTTTTCACTCAGTTAAGAAAAGTCAGTGGAATTGCATTTAAAAGTGTTGTCACTTCACAGTCTGTCACAGGGCTTTTGCCAGCTCCCTTCAAAAAGGAGTTGGTGCCTAGAACTGTGCCAGCTGGTTGATCTGATCATCCCAACGCTTTACTAGAAAATCTAAATATACAGCAGTACGAGCTGAAATGTGTCTGCTGTCCTGTTTTGCAACTATTCTGCATTTGAATGAAGAACTACTTTCTCATGAAAGCAGTACTGAAGCTCTCTCTATCTTTCTGTTCTATAGGTTGTCATTTTGTATTTTGAGCCAAGTATATTTCGCTGTGTTCTCCTAAGATGGGTTCGTCTTCTGGGCTTTGCTACTGTTTATGGAACTGTGACACTCAAGCTGCACAGGTATTTCACATATTAATTTCCATCTCTGTGGGAGTATGTGCAATCTGTGTGGGTACTTGGAAGAACGGCAAATATTATCATCAACAAGTGCCATTTCTGATTTTAAACCCACTGTGTATTTCTCCTCAATTTTCCTGCTCAAATTATATGCTACTAATCTGAGTTGAGAGCTATGAATGCTGACAGGACTTGATGAAAAATACATCTACATTAACTGTTAAACTGTGCAAGAACCAACCCCTTTTCTCAGGAGGTGAATGTGCTCTCCTTGAATATAAAAAATACAGAAGTATTCATAGAGTGTTCAAAAGCTTCTCTGTGAAGTGTTCATAGAGAGATGCTTTTGAAGTGTTTAGACACAGCAATGGTGGGTAAAGCAACAGACTACAGTGTGTGTAGTCAGCGTGTTTTCTTATGGCTCTTATGTCAGGGGCTGTTTTCTTCAGGCAATCATAGCAGACAAGCTGCACATTCACAAGCATCAGTACCTGTCAGCAAAAATATGAGGCAGATTCTGGGTTCCGTGGGGTTGGCACTGCATTCACATGTGACTCAGAGATGTAAGATTTAGAGGCCCAACTTAAATTCCCATTTCTACAGTCCCTTTAAAAATTGAAGCCTTTTCTGTGTATGCTGGATAAAATCCATCTTTAAACTTTAATGAAAAAAAATTACTGATACATTCTGTAATTATTCAAGCAAAGAGATAAGCAGTATATTGATACTTGAACACATTGGATGGAGTATGGTCACTCATCTTTTTATCTTCGTTTCATTACTGTGTTGGCATGTAAGATAGAGGAAGTTTGATATTATGCTCATAAACTGAATGAGAACTAAAAATATCTTGTGTTTCGTGATGCATTATTGACTTGTCCATATTATTCCATATTATGTGGAAACCCCTGTTTTCCCATTAAAACAGAGCTCCTTCATGCAGCTCTCTTTAATTTGTGTTCCTACTTACAAGTGTGCACTTAGGCTAGTAAACTGTAATTGTAAAATGATGTGTCTGGGCACATCTTTGCATTGAAAATGACCAAGAAATCCCACACCCCCATAGTATTTTCTGGGATGAACAATTTCTGATGCAAAAAGTAAAACAAGTAGAGCAGTAGAGGAGAAAGGGAGCTGGTGACTTTGCTTAGATGCTTTGTTATCTATAGCTCAGATAGATAAAAAGCCTGAGACTGTGGGTGGCTCATGTTGTCACTGCAGTTCTGCTGTCCTAACAGGTTCTTTATATGATTGTACATGATATGAGGAAGCAGCTCTCCTGACAGGACAATTGATCTTCCATTGATGTTAAGTGAGGACAGGCTGCAGAACTGGGCAGAAAGTCTTCTGCTTTGCTCATTCAGCTTTTTGGTGTTACTTAGACGTGTGCTGACAGGGTCAGCAAACCAGACAAAATTGAGTAAGAAGCCAAGAATGCACTGCATCCTCATTCTTGATCATTACAAAGCGAGAAAGGATAGCAGCAGACTGGACTTTATCAATAGGACTAACCTGAGGGAAGGCTGAGGGAAGTGATTGTTCTCCTTTACTCAGACCATATCTGCAATGATGTGTCCAGATGTCAGCGAACTTAGATGAGTTTAGTGAAAGGCCATCAAAATGGGCTTTGAGCACCACATCAAAAAGGCCATCAAAGCTCAGGGCTTTGAGCACTGGTCCTGCAAAGAGGGGTTGAGATAGCAGGGCTTGTTCAGCATAAAGAAAATGTTGCATTGGAGGGACCTAACATGAGCTATCCAACACCTAGAGGGAAGTGAAGCCGGGTTCTTTACAGCAGTGTATAGCAGCAGAACAAAAGACTGACAAATTTAAACAGGAGATTTCAACTTTATACAATATGAATGAATATCGGGGCAATGTTAAATGAGAAAAGCATTTTCAGTGTCAGGTTGATTAAGCAGTGCAGCTGGTTGCTCATGGGGTTATGAATTTCCATACTTGGAGGTTTTCAAGACCCAACTGGATAAAGCCTGAGCAACCTGGTCTGGATTCACTGTTAACCCTGCTGTGAGCATTGGCTGCCCTTCTGAATAATTCTGTATTTCTCTGTGTAACGCAAAGAGGGAAAAAACCTATTTAGTATGTTAATCTATAATTACTTTGTCTAAGAGTATATCTTTTGTTTTGCACCCAGCTATCCTGACTCTTCCTTTCCTACATTAGTGATATTGTGGTCTTTTTTTTTGTTTTGAATATATCAGTCCCAGAGTGTGGTTTGCAAAAGACTGAGTCAAGTTAGATATGTATTTTATTATACACATTCACAGCAGTTATACTGTTAGGAACAATGTGATGTTAATAGAAATTTGGTGGAAAATTTTGGCAGATCTAATTCAGTCCACAAGTCATACAAGGTTGAGGAATGGCTTATTGCAGACGTGACAGATACTCCTGACAAGCACTGGTTCCCTCCTGCAGCTAGGCTGTGTCCTGCCTGGGAGAAGAACCAATTGCCAGCAAGGAACTTGTGATTTTTCTGAGTTAAATGGGAAAACCAATATTGTGTAGAGCTAGCTGTTAATGATAATGAGAAAGTCTCATGCTATAGTTCTCAACAAATGAGATGCTTTGAGTAGCGATGGAGTGTGAAGGTTAACAAAGCCAGGTAGGAGTCACTGGACATGCCTGGGGTTTTTGTAGCTTTTAAAATTTTCCTGTAGCTCCTCACTTCTTAAGGAGTTCTCAAAGGTTTTGTTAGGGTCAAGCATCAAGGGGAAATCAGAAAAGAAGTCAAAAGCAGATGCTTAAGGAAGAGTAAAAGAACAGGGAAGTCATGTACTGATTCATTCTTGGAACACCTGTCACAGACAATTTCTACAGTGCCTCATCCTTAATTGCCTCTTTCTTATTCACTGTGCATTTTTTAAATAATGAGCTGATGTTTATGGGGGTGGAAGGATAGGGGCATGGAAATTAGCTTAATTTAAGAAATCTAGCTGAAGAGCTATGAACATAAAATACAATACTTTCCTTAACAATGAATTTTTCAAAACAATTCTCTCAAGAAATAATATTGTTTCAAATTTAACCTTTTGGGTTTAAAGGAGCTGATGTGGCACCTTTCAGTGTATTTCTGTAACTGAAGAATCTCTGTGTCCTTTCTCAAGCCCTGTGTTTTATGAACAGGTTATCTCATTACTTTAAATATTGTGTGAACTTCTGTCACCTACGTGTCAGGGTTAATACAGAATCCTTAATTCTGGACTAAAGCATAAGAATGAAACAAAGTAACATACATAGAGACAAATGTATCCACTTACATGTGTATACATAGGATAGTTTTCAGATATTTTAGGAAAAGGAAACTCAGGAATGGGGTCTCTAGTTTATGGGAATCTCCATTTCTGATATTAGTAAGAGAAAAAGAGGAAAGTGGGAAAGTGAGGAGAATGAGAAGGTACGGGGAAGGCGATGTTTCAGGTATGAGAAACATGACAATGTCATAATGCCCACTTTTTTGTAAGCAGTGATGGTGGGATGGGAGTGTTAGTGGGAGAGCAAGATGTTAACACTATGATGCAATTCTGCATTTTATCTAAATGCTGTGCTGAGATTATATTGCTGTGCTTTGCCATCTGGTACAGTTGAAGCAAGTGGTGGACCTTCCTACAGGTTTTGGAGGTGGTAGAGAAAGGAGTAGAAAACCAGTGTGGGTAGTGTGTGCATGTTTAGAGGCATGTTTTAGTGGGGGACATGGATTAGTGACTCATTTGGCAGTTAGATTTATGGTTGGACTTGATGATCTCAAGGGTCTTTTCCAGCGTAAACAAATCAATGATTTTGTGGTTCTCTGAGTTGTGATTCAGTATCTTACTGAAGAGGAGACTCGTGCCAGCAGAGAACCCAAAGAAGATGTCAGTTTGCTTGTTGAAGCATCAGTGGTGAGGACATGGTGTCCTGTTCCAGCCAGGACAGGGTTAAAGTTAGCCACATCAGCCAGGGGGACACAGCCAGGACCCCAGGATTATTGGATATGCCTCACAGCATGTGCAGGGGGAACTGAGGGTGAGGGTGGGTGGCACATGGGGACCGCTTGCCTGTGAATCATTGGCCTAACTTGTGCACTCTGGTTTTAGTATTGCTTGTTGTTACTGTTTCTTTTCTTATTTCATTGCTGTTTTGCTAAATTGTTCTTATCCTGTGATCTTTACCTTTACCTTTTTGTGCTTTCACTTCTCTTCATTCTGCCACAGGGGGAGGTGGGGGTTAAGTGAGCAATTGGCTTGTGGTCTTGGGTCTTAGAGTGGGAACACTAAATTTGGGAATCCCATTCCTAACCACAACACATAGCATATGTGGCCTCCCCTAGGTCAGCTGGGACTGGGAAAGAGGATACAGATGACCTTGTCTAAAAGTGTCTGGTGGGAATGTGGTGCAGAAAGGGGCAGAAGGTACCATGGCAGCTGGAACCTGTACGGCTGGATTATCACATGGCCAAAATTTCACAGGTCATAGGGCTGGTAGGTGACAGTTCCATAGTGCCAATACACCACTACCCAGTGGTTCCATGAAATGGGACACTAGTGATGAAGTGCTGCAGAGAGAAGTTTCGTCTGGGAGGAGTGGTTACTGTGTAACTCAAATTGGCAAGCAAAGTGAGATGAGCATCGTCTGTAATGTTGAACAATCCTGTTTTTTGAAATGAGTCAGGCCCTCATGGTTTGGTTGGTTAAGCACTCAAAAAAATGTGGAGGATTTACTTCCTATTGAATTATCCTTTTTTTCTTGTGGAAGGTGAGACTGAAATGCCTTTAGACAGATGCATTCATTGTTGGATTTTGCCTCTGGATGTGGTCCATAGTGATTTCTGTAGTTGTTGTTATCTCACATGAAACAAAAGGAAGAAAAATTGTTTTCAAGGCAGATGTTGCTGTTGCAGAAATGTACAGAGTGTACAGAGTGCTGGTCTGATACTGCCTTGTTGAATTGCCATCGCTTGGGTTTTTACTGCTTTAACTGCAGTAAAAACTCATTGCTTGGGT